GGTATAGGTCATTTAACTTGTTGATGTTTTGTAATCATTAAATCCCTGTAAAAAAATTTGACCAAAAGCTTGCCAACGCTACTCCCTCCGATCGAAACCTCAACAAAAGCTTTCAAATCTATCATTTATCGTTCCCGAGGGAATATCTCAGCCCCAGCTTTGTAGAGAGCACTACTGACAGTTGTTTTGCCTTCGACCTCCCTACATTTGGAAAAGTTACGGAGGCTAAAAAGACCAAGACTACCCTGACAGGCCCGCGCGATAAGCTCCTGTCAAAGAGCAGTGCAAGACGTCTTTGCGCGAATCCATGCAGGTTCGGTTGAAGCTACGCTATGTGGCTCTGCAAGATAGACAAGTGGTCGCTGGCGGGCCTATGGCACAGGGCATTCTAATAGGTTGCTGAGAGTGCCCAGAAGGCATCCTCGCGAACTTATCCTAGTGAATTGATACTTTCGGTACTTGACCTTGGCTCTTCCACCCTTCGTGCGCGGTAAATCCAGCACGGCGGACGTGTCAACGAACAGACGCTCAGCTATACCCTCAGCTGTATTTCATGCTGGTCTATGAGCACGGTCAGCGAGACTATAGCTTTAGTCCCAATTCTTGTCTCCTCAATCTGGCCATCCCCAATTCTAACATCGACCAACAGCAGTAAGCCCTAGCCCCAGCCCCAATCATTTAACCGTGCCACACTAGAGCAGGCCACAGCTACCTTTGCAACGTCGGGACATGTGTCCCCAGATCGCTGGTATAATCAGGTTGCGCCCAAGCCTTCATCTGATCCTTGTTACCAGCAAGAGAATCTGAAAGATACACTGGTCGACGAATATCTTGTGCAAAAGAGGTGAGTAAACAGCTGAGGGGCTTTGTTCCCGGATCTGCCTGCGCAAGCATATTTTTGGGCAAGCTAGATACATCTAAGGCATTGGCCATTAATGATTCTGCAAGTTACTTGGCCACCATCCTCTGATTGATTGTTCATTAACGTGCTAGGTAGAGTAAAACCTGTCGCACTCCTACTGGAGCTTGAGCATGAGTGGGGCTGGACCGGATCAGATTAACTATCGTGAAGTACAGCCATCATCCTCTGCTCGACCTAGTTGCTACTTCAAATTCGGCACAGACCATGCCATATCCTTTTGTTATTACACCTCCGCTGGCTGAGTTAACGAATGAAAAGCCCAAATTTAAACAGTGGATATTCTACAAGATGAGCTTTCGTATCTCGCCGGTCCAGCTATTTTTTTCATTTACTTTGACGGGCGAGACGGAATGCACACCTCATGCGGAGGGCTTAGTCCGGCGATAGATTGAGGGTTGGTAAGTTCGAAATGGCTCTGTTTTATGGTGCAGTGGTACAACATTCGGGCAGTTCTCCCAAGTAAATTCTAGGTAGCTTGGACGCTTACCGCGTTTGAGACAGCAGAAAGCTGGTTCGAATCCTGTAAGACCTACACACCACATCCTCTCCCGGTGATATTGTATCTGTGGGGTGACGAAAGCACAGTTGGATATTCATTAGATTATCAAGCTTTTCCCTGTCATCGGCATGTACGCAAGAGGTCATATGAGGTGAGAGTTAACCTGGAGTGGTATCTGCAAATGAAATATGAATGTTCTAAATGTCAAATTGAGTCATTACACATAACATACATGTCTTCCGAAAAAAAACCTGCATGCTGTTGGGATTGTGAGGTTAGGTAGATAAGAATTTTGGTAAGATGGAATGTAGAAAGGATGAGGAGTCTATGTTCTGGCGGGTGAGCGAATGTATTTAGACTACGTGAGAACAATGGGCATCCAAGGACGATCGCATGGTTTTAGTGGGGGGTAAATGCACCTGATTATATTCATGCCCAATTTGCTCTACAGCCATGCCCGTTGAGTGTCTGGTGTACTCATATAATGAACACCCACCCTATTTGGTCCTAAAGCTGCTAACAATTAGCACGACTTAAATTTAGGTCATGCATTAATTATGCCATGCACTATAATCATGGAGCCTTGTCTACAAATCCCATACTTCCTTGCGTAGACCAGGATCATAACACATGGGCCTAAAGGCGCCAAATCAGGATAAAATTGAATAATTTATCTAGTAGGAAATAGTGCCTCCTCCTTTCTCATATCTACGTCAACCTGTGCGTATCACGCTTCAATGTTGCGTCAACTAACCTCTCAGTAGCCTGGACAACCAAAGATCCTCGAAAGCTTTCGAAGTCCATCACGTATCCTGATTCAGAAAAACTGCTTTTGAGCACCGCTAAGTTTAAAGAGTTACACGAGCCAACTTTCATATCCAATGGCCACAGCACCTGGAAACTGTAAAAGCTACGTTAGAGATGACTAAAATAACTATGATGACCTTATGGCGCCTTGAAATCCTAGGCAGTAAGGGCTGGTCTTGCTCATGTGATGTGATTCATGTCTGTATGAAACACAGTTCCCGTTGCAACGAGGTTAAATGCAGCTGCTGTGCGTCGGCAAGCAATTATTTTCGTCATGAGCAAAGACGTGGGCACCTATGGTTCTACCGCCTTTCCAAACGTGCCGTGAAGTTAGAAACTCGATCCATTGAGGATAAGCATAAAATTTCTCAAAGTTATAGACATCAGGAACCCACACGAGCCCTCGAGAGGCTGACATAGCTAGTATCGCTAAACACAGCTTTCCATGTCCAATATTAGACTGGTGCTCAAATATGAGCTGTAGTTACTGAAAAGAAACGCTGCTGCGTCCTCATACGTCCAAATTCCACTAGCAATGAAGCTCCTCCGAGCTAGAAGGGTGCCTGAAAGGTAGAAGACGAATTTGGGACATGCTGATTCCCTAACGTAAACAGTGTCTACACCTTGTAGTCTCTTCAGCTATGTTTGTTTGTATCGATTCCATCTTCACGTAGCCAGACAATAAGTGGTTTGCAACAAAGGACCACATTGCTCATCCCGTTGGCCTATCCGACCTGCAAGCACATCCGTAGACACCTGACAACCTGAAACAGGCTCGGGTAAAGTACAGCGATTAAATGATATCAAAAAATAAAATAAAGTACAGCGCCTAATAAATGTAGCAATTATCGAAGAGGGCGGCAGGAAGCGACGACCCAGTTCACAATCCCTATCAACAACTTCCGCAGTGTCTGTGCCTCAGAGAACTGTACAATTCAAATCTGTCAGCTTAGCCTTTAGTGTGGGAACTAGCCCTGGGTCGCCAAAATTGATATCTTTATTTCAAGATCTATATCCACTTTCATTCCATGATGCTAAGTTTCACTAGTCTATTCAGTGTATCATTTGAGAAGTGAGGGATTGAGATGATAGTTGCCATAAAATTAGACACCACGTACAAGCGTTCAGTCTTGCCCTCCTGATCAGCTGGATGATTGAGTAACTGAATACGTGAACCTAACAATTGTTCCTTGGCCTTTGGACTGCATCTAAAGAAAACCTTTGACGCTCTTGGTGCCAGCTCGAGGCTAGTCTCAGCCATTATGCTGGCCATTTTCACTTCTAGTCTACTACATAACTACAGCAACTGAGCCCCTTGCTATCTTTGCCAAATGGGTAATCCATTTTATTGTCTTTTCGGCTGTGAAGCTTTGACACTCGATAAATCCCTCTTCTACACATCAGACGCCTCTGTAGACTTCAGAATCATCCAGACTCTAAATGTCATGCGCAAATACCACTCCGCACCGTGTTTGCTTTCGCAGATAGATCGATCCTTGTCCAGTAGCACTCACCGATGGGAAATTTCAACCTCCATCGGTTATCCAAGCGCGCTTTCGTCTTCCCATACGAGAGCTCCTCAACAAATAATATCCAATCTTACTGAGCTTGAGCAAGTGTTTGCCTGTCTCAAGTGGGTTGGCTGTCCAAATTATTCAGATACTACCTAGGACACAGGTCCTGGTCATCTGCCCTGATCTATCACGCATATATTCCAAGGGTTTATCCAACAAGATGTGTGTACCACGATTTATTACCTGCTGCAGGTAATCGTAATATCGTGTGCGTGTCTTTGGAGGCCAGCTGGAGCTAGAGTCCAAGTTGACGAGAGGAATGGATATTGAAATCAGGAAATAAAGGGTTGTACATGTAGACTCACAGAAGTTCTGGTCGGAATCGATCTTGTTGGGAATGAATGATTCAGGTAGTTAGAAGTCCGGAGGCTTTTTATCGTGGGCCGACTCCCGCGAGATTGCGGAATTCGAGTGAACTTGATTTGAGAAAATAGGATACTTTCATTTTTGCAGATTACTGCTTCCAAGTGCTCAAACTATGGCCTCAGAGTAGGCGCTCCCCCAGATTCAGCAATCTGAATTTCAAGATAGTCGTCTAAAAATCACTCCTCTAGTCAGTTAACAAGGAAATGACTAAATCCAGATTTCATCAAAATGTTGGGAGTTGGAATACAACTGGAAATAACCCTTCCGATGGATTGATGGTTTAGAAAAGACCTTTGAGTAGCCTTTCAATTCCGAGACGATCTAGTTCTACATCATCTAAATACAGCTGAGTCCAAATAACTTCCTCCCATAACCTTATAGTTCAAAGTTCATCTTCTAGCTAGGATTCAGTACTGCTCATATTCCAACTCCTTACCTTTTCTGTAGCATCGAATTCTCTTGCTCTCATATTTTTGTAAATTTTTATGTATCCCCAACTGGTTGGGGTTTTTGACAGTCGGGTATCAGTATGTGCTTGTTTTCCACTATTAAGATCAATCTTACAAAATAATCGGGGCCCGTAAGTTTTCAGTAAGAAATAGCCCATCCCAGCAAATAGAAACTCCTAATTAAATAATACGATGTCTTAAAATGCTATATAATACAAGACGACAAATGATTTCTGTTAACAATTGAACGGATGTACAATTATGTGACGATACTGTTTCATCACGAACTTTTCCGGTGTCTGTTGGTAGTGATTTGTCTTTGTGGGTATTTATGCTCAGTACCCTTGCCTGAGTATTTGGTGATCAATGTGAAATAAAGCATATCACAATATTCCCACCACTCCAGCTATTATGAGGGCTATTGGTATACAGAGACTTCGAGAAGATGCTGACCATGTTGGATCTGCTCGTCCATACAAAAGCTTCGGTGTTCCAATAGCAGTGATATTTTCATCCAGGCTACAGACTGCTGCGCATAAGGCTGGATCTCGTCGTGGTAAGCGTCCAATTGTCGATAGGGAAGTCTCATCTCTTTTCCTACGGTCGCTTTCCGAAACTCCACTAGTGTTATAGGCGATCTCTATCCATTGGACATTCAAATATGCTGACTGGCCTACACTCATGTTACCAGTCCATAGTCCCCCATCACTCCACATATTCATGATTAGACCAGCCGGGTCTTTAGGAGTTTGAATGCTAATGTTTGCAACTGATACGTCGTTAACATACCAGCTGGTCTGCCCAGGCATCCAGTCCATTCTCCAGACGTTCCACTGTGAATAGTCGTTTGTTTTGGGTATAGTTGTGTTCATACTAGCTTCTTTAAGTTCTCGGCCTTGATTATCAAAGCTTGGTTGATTCGTAAATTGGGCGTGGTCCACGGGAGCACCAGTCAATATCTCAATATCTGCTTCCTGTACACTTGTAGGATCAGAGCCAGGTGGGAGATAGGTGAAGAAACCTGCACAGGCACCTGGATCTCCACTTATCCGAGCGAGGTAACGCACAGAGAGGAAGAGCATATTGTTGGGTACCGTATCAATTTCGGCTGCTGCTTGAAAGGTGGGCGCGCGAGCAGTACGAAGCGTTAACCAGCTGAGATGAGGATCTGAGGGATTATTTTCTGTCATAAGTTAGGAGACACAAGTCACGAAATATTCGCCTATCAGCGATCTTATTATAAGACAAACCAATATATACATTATTCAGAGAGTTAATCATCATTAGCGTGGCGCTGGTTTGATCCATTGAATCGGTGTTATTCCAGTGTTGAATTCTCCAATTTTTAGTCCAAGCTGGGCTCTTGAAATAGCTATGTGTAACTGATGCATCATTGGAGCTATCTTTGGATGTTAGTAGAGGCGGTGCCGGTGAGGCGGAGATGCCACGAAAGTCTTGAAATATATGGTTGGTGAAGTAGCCTCCAGATGGACCAGTAGTGCGAAAACAGTCACATTTTTTTCCATTTTGCTTCACCGTCGCGGCTGTGAGATGTGGAAGAAGAAGTAAAATTGCCGTGAGGGAGGCAAATGGCCCCATGGATAGATGTCTGGCGTAGGTAAGGTTTGAGGGCGTAAGGTAGCAATCTTACACACAAGCAGCTACTTCTGAGATAAAGCAAATGAAGGGAGAAAGAGCGAAAATAAGGAGAAGTTGGATTGGTTGTTGAAGCTATGTAAAGGTTGGCAGCCGCATTCGCATTGCAAGTCACAAGACAAAGATGATAGACGGATGGGGCTGCATGCTCACTCACTGACTGACGCCCCGTTCCACCCGATCTATCCTAGAAGGGCGGGAATTTTCTTTCCTCGGCCCCCCGTCCCTTCTGACCTATCTGCTTTGGAACAGAGCAAGTCTTGTGGCAGCTGGGGAGCTTCTCCAGACTGTGTGAAGGGATCATCCTAGTACCATGTTTCCAATAGCGCCATGATCGCCTCCCAACTGAACATGGACATTGGGGGAATAAGCGATGATTACTTCAGATGCGGCGTCGGTTGAGAATAGTCGAGCTGGGGGTAAGGGCGCTTGCTGGGGTTGAACAACCACAAATTGGCTCCGTAACTGTTTTTAAAGAGGGGGTGGGGTAGTATCTAGCTCCGGATGATCTACCCTGTATGGAAGCCTCGACTTGGCGTTCCCCTCGTAGCCGTCGCAAAGTCGCTGAGAAAGTGTACGGACGTGTAGACGGTGACAAGTGAAGCAGCAGCTTTTCCCCTTAACGTGAGAGTTTCAACCAGCTGATTAGATTATGGCATGATGCTCTAGGCCGCAGCTGGGCTACATAATTGGAAAAAAGAATTTCCGCAGGGCTAAACGTCTGGTCTGTTCACCACCGAAAGGGGCCGCCTAGTCGTAAAGCCACCTTAACCGACTTTTTAAGAAAGCTATAGGGGCCGTTCCGACATAAGCACACGGGGAGTTGCTCAAAAACCTAAGGCAGGGGCAGTTCCTCGACGCGTATGAAGCAAGGCATAGCTATTGTCTCTTCGAATCCACATGATTGGGTCGGATGCATGGCAGAATATCTTGGCCCTACTGAGCCTTGTTATTAGGGATCGCGACAACTGCTAATCCCCCACCATCACCTGCATCATCTGCCACGAGCCTCCCGGACTTGAGAGGGCGAGAGAACGTGGGCCGAGGAATGCTTAATGTTCTCTGATCTTTTCAGCTGTCGGAATAAGATCGGCTCCAAACTGTGTAACACCGACCTCAGCCTACATGAATGATGAATTTTGTACTTTTTTTCTTCGACGCCTCAAATGTCGGCAAACTTAATGTACCTCTACTGACGAACATCATTTCCACCCGTTGTATGCCTGGCTCGTGCACAATGAAGTAGAATTCGGAATAATATGCCCTGTAACTTACGCGGAGGTTCTTATCTTGTGGTTCATGGGCATTAACATTGTTAGTTTGTGATGATGCTAGGCAAATTAGCACAAAAGCTATACACAAAATGTGAGTCGCAAAGGAACCAACGCTACTTTTTCTGATTTCAGGTAGAAGACAGCGCAGGGTCAGTTGTTTAGGCACATTCAGTATCTGTGGCAATATTTCTTTATTGCATCCTATACCAAGTCTCCTTCAACGACTAGCATGGTAGATTGTGCAAAGGGCTACTCGTTTCGTTGACAACAAAATAGAATTCATCAAAGCCCACGATATTAGGGCTCTATTGAGCACTATACCAGGGGGCTACACTAGACCTGAGCTCGACTACGATCCATCACGTACTCTTTACCTCATGAGTACCCTTGCTTACCAGAAACAGGGATAAGAGGAACATTCTCCTTAATCACGGATGTGAAAATGTCTACGCTCGAGGTACATTTCTACCCAATGGCCGACAAGTTCGCAATTGCCAATCTGCACTGAAAACCATGTATTTTTCCATGCTTTGTTGTTTATTCCCGTCCTGTGATTGTACAGGTCGCGAATACTTTTGACTCAATAAGTTGTCCCTTCCCAACCTCATTACACATCTTATCCAACGGTACTACTACTCACAAGTCTTCTTTCTTTCTCAAACTCCGAAGTCCTTTACCACGCACAATCCCACCTCTTCAACCAACAAAGTGAGGGCCGTTCTCTGGTGTGTGGAATCTGTGAAAACCATCGAAAATTACCACAAACTGCACTCATCCAATACCGAAATTAGACACAAATTAGATACAGCCACCTTCTGATGCGTTCCACGAGAATAGCCAGCTGGGCGTTACAAAATTGTTTATACCGAATAGAAGCACAGTCTGGCTCCCTAGCCTCCTCATTTCTCTTTCCATCGTTGGCGCCTCGGCACAAATCAGAGGTTGTGTTGAAATGTTAGAAAAGTCTTGATAATGAGCATGTGCCGTAGAGAGGCCAAACCCAACTTTTTTGGGCTACCCTAGGTGATGAACTCATTGATGATAATGGTTCTTTTGGTTATTTTTGGACTCAATCTGACCTCCGTAGAATTATGATTAAATTTGAGTGATCAAGGGAGACACTAGTGACAGGTCTTGAATTCCGCACGCTCCAATCCCAGCCTGAATAAGACAAAATGATAAATAGAATTTGTTGGTAGATAAGTGGTTGGCTTTCGTCAATGATCCGCCAAGGGCCTAGAAGCTTTTATCTGACTAAATTCCAAAGATCAGTATTATCCGTCGGGGATCATCAGGCTAGAAAGGCCGGGAGACGAGTAGGCGTATCCTTGAGGATTCAGGGGTTAAATTAGGCCAACACTGTCAAATTATCAGCTTAGAGGGGACAATCAAGAATACGGTCAGCCGAAATATTCCTAACGCTAGAGTCTATACGTTTGTGATGCATTCTTAGTGGTGGCTGTTAAATTGATCAGCCATGATGATTGGAAATCTACCTAAGACGTCCGAAAAGAATTACTGATGTGTGGACTTCATCGAAGAGGAGCAACTCGTTTGCGGCCTTAGGCGTCATAATAATGGAACAGACAGCTTAAATTTATTGTGTAATGTTTGGTTGAGATGAGAGAATATACACACAAGGAATCCCAGCATCCTTTTTTTCGCCCCGGTTGCAAAATATTGATGAAGGTGAGTCAAAGCCAAAAATTGACGGGCAGAGACGTCATCGCCAGAAGCTCTTTTGTCAGCATCAAGTTTCCTGGACTTACTCATACCACCTTATAGCCTTGATATTCTCAAGTTGTGGCCTTCTCCAAAATGGCACGCCAGACTCTCGATTTAATCAGCAAGTTAGCTCCGCGCTCCTGGCAGAATCTAGTACCCTGTTGCCTGTATATTTCCAAACTTATTACCGTACCCGCAGCTTTCTCGTCGCTTGTCTGCGAGAAGATAGCGGGTCGATGGGAGACGAAGCGTATGCCGGACTTGTCTCTGATGTGCTCGTCTCGCAATGAATTGCGTGGGAGGTTGAATGGCCTAATGGTCGGGAACCACCCGACACTGCATTAAGCTGTTGTCGATCTTTAAAGCCCCTGGTTGATCTTATGCAGGAGCTACGGCACGCAACTGACGCCGGGTGGCCAGCAGCATCGGCTCGACGTTCTCCAACTGGTTTGCAAATTCACGCTGGATGACTAAGCTTGCGAACTGTATTAGTCTTCGGGTAGTAGCAAGCTTCACCGCCTCCTGCTCGTTCAGCGGCACAATCTAAAACTACAGCAGAGACTGGAGGGCGAAGGATAGACTGCCATTCCAAGAATTGTACGGCAGAGGTCCCCATCATAGCCTCTCTTCACGATATTTCTGAAGGCATCTAGTTTTGCCTAAACACCGGATCGCCTCTTATCACGGCCATGCATGTGATAGCATATGGCGTGAAATTGAGCAGCATCGTAGATAGCAATCTATGCTTATGCCAATGTTATTTAGTTGCCGCAAGGTCACCAGACCGTTGGCAAGCGCTATGGGAGCTGGAGATCTCGTGCTTAACCCTCGGTAAAAACGACCGAAAAATCCCAGCAGTGCACTCTTCAAGCGTGGGGTTGAATTTCCTCCCGCTTCTAACATCTAATCGTCTCCCCTGAATGGATCTAGAAAGTATCATGGATTACTCTCAGTCGGAAAAAATTGCATTGATTCTCTTTCCTTCATGCCTTTAAATCCAAAGGCTTAAAGTGTGAACAAACCGAACATGAAGCAATCTAATTAGCTTCTAAGATAGTATTTGGTGATGCCGGACATCGAATTCTCATTCGCACTGATCTCTACAAACTTGAAAGTGGAATACTCCCAACACCACGTTCAATCGAATACTGCAATCTCGCGGGAGTCGGCCCACGATAAAAAGCCTCCAGACTTCTAACTTCCTGAATCATTCATTCCCAACAAGATCGATTCCGACTAGAACTTCTGTGAGTCTACATGTACAACCCTTTATTTCCTGATTTCAATATCCATTCCTCTCGTCAACTTGGACTCTAGCTCCAGCTGGCCTCCAAAGACACGCACACGATATTACGATTACCTGCAGCAGGTAATAAATCGTGGTACACACATCTTGTTGGATAAACCCTTGGAATATATGCGTGATAGATCAGGGCAGATGACCAGGACCTGTGTCCTAGGTAGTATCTGAATAATTTGGACAGCCAACCCACTTGAGACAGGCAAACACTTGCTCAAGCTCAGTAAGATTGGATATTATTTGTTGAGGAGCTCTCGTATGGGAAGACGAAAGCGCGCTTGGATAACCGATGGAGGTTGAAATTTCCCATCGGTGAGTGCTACTGGACAAGGATCGATCTATCTGCGAAAGCAAACACGGTGCGGAGTGGTATTTGCGCATGACATTTAGAGTCTGGATGATTCTGAAGTCTACAGAGGCGTCTGATGTGTAGAAGAGAGATTTATCGAGTGTCAAAGCTTCACAGCCGAAAAGACAATAAATTGGTCTTGAAAAAACATACACATTCCGAAGAGTTAACCTCATAGATTTTTATCCTTAAAGTTGACAGCACATTGTGATCGTGATGACGAGTATTCCTATGAGAGGAATTAATGGTGGAACGCCTTGCGCCGGTTCCAGCTGTGGTGGCGTCGCGTCGAAAG